AGACGTCTATAGTATACAGTTCAATAAATTCTTCTCGCAGCGATCTGTTTATTTCCAATTCCCAATAAAAATGGACAATAGGAAGTGTCGCTCTAAACATTTCACATCTTGACAGAGTAGGATATTTTATTTTTGTTTAGTGAATTATATATTTATTTCAAGTATTGACTTTCGAAATCGAATGGAGAAAATGCTATCTTTGTTAATTTTTATTTTTCTGAAGAAAAATATCTAAATTTAATTAGAAAACTTGTCGCACATGATACAAATAGAAGTTTTCTTAGTGCATATTATAATAGATGCGTTTCGCCCTCTAATTTCAGTTCATTTGGTTTTCTAATTACCGAAATTGCACACACGCTCTCCATGTTTTCGATGGCGCCTAAAGATATCGTTTAATTGGAGTGTTTCTAGTTTCAAAAAAAAAATAGAGCTTATTTTTCTTCTTGGTCATAATTGAATTTGCTACCGTTTAAATATAGTGGCCAATTAGGCGAAAGCCTACTGAACCGGAGCAATTATACGGCGTTGCTCTGGAATATATTCCCATTATTATTTAAAGAGGAATTATTCGGGATCCTAATTAAAATAATTCGGCTGTTATTACGTATAAATTAGTGAGAATAATGGCGTTCTATATAATTATTCATAGAAAAAGCATGTGCAGCGCCGAACAGGTGGTAGAAGTGAAACTTTTTGAAAACCATTCCCTGCCCTCATATATAGGTACCTTTTAAACTAAGCCTATTTAGTGGTACTAGCACGAGCACTGTATCTGTTTCGAAAACTGTAACTGTTCCGTATGTGAGATTCCAAAAAATGCCAAAAAATTCTAAAAATTTCCAGAAAATTTCATTTTGGAAATTACGGGTGTATCATGGATGCATGAGTCATCTTGTTTCAGATGGTCCTGATTACATAGGTAAGTATTCTCAACTTTGGGGCATTCCATAACGCATTGTAGTAATCTTCCGTAGAGAGTAGTAAGTGAGGATATACATCCATATATACCAAGCATATTTTATTTTGTAATCTAGACAATACATTGTCCATTGCTCTTTGAAATGTTGCTGGTGCGTTTTTCAAACCAAATGGCATTCGAGTGCACTGCTCGAAACAGATACAGTGTTCGTGCTTGTACCACTAATTCCAAAATGGAATTTATTGGAATCTTTTGCATTTTTTGGAATCTTATATACGGAACAGTTAGAGTACTCGGAACAGATACAGTGGTCGTGTTTATACCACTAAAATCAAAAAAATGCCAAAAAAATCGAAAAAAATCTATCTATGGAGCTTATAGATTTTCACGCTTGCCGTTTGGGCTTAATTGTGCCTCAGAGTATTTTCAACAAATAAATAATGATAATTTTGGCGACATTTCTGGAGTAATAGTTTACTTTGACGACTTACTTATAGCAGCTGATAGTTTGGAACTTCATGACAAAATTTTGAGTGAAGTTCTAGAGAGAGCTAGAAATGTTGGTGTTAAATAAAATTCAATACAGAGTACGAGAAGTTGTATATTTAGGTAACATATTTGACAAATATGGTATGCTACCGGATGAGGAAAAAAGTAAAGCAATTTTGTCGCTTGATGAACCCAAAAACAAAAAAGAATAATTACAATATATGTTGAGTATGATTAATTATCTTAGAAATTACATACCAAAGGACTGAATATATCCATTCAGACAGAAGCCGTTAAAGGTATGAATATCCAGTTAAAAACTACAATCAAAGGATTTGCAAGAGGCTTATGGGATCGGGCAACCGTACCACGACTGAGAAATAACATACCTAACCCTTATTCTTCCAGAAATCTTAACAAAATAGCCTTAACCAACATCACAACTCCATCATGAGATTCATCATCATCATCATAGGCAATCACTCGATACCGAGTATGATTATTTTCTATTCTATTCTTATAGTGTTCTTGGGAAATTTCTGACACACAAAAAGCTAGACCCTGTTCAAATCAAAAATATTTCCTAAATGCGTAGCATCATTGTCCGATTGTGATATTTCAATGCAAATGAAAATTCGATTTCTCAAAATGAGATTGTCAAAATACAGTAAGGGGCTTTTATGCTGATAAATTATGGAGGTTCACCGAGGCAAACGTGCACTTTAGGAAGTAATAAAAGCACACTCGTCGCCCCGGATATTGCTCTCGTGTCTGAAAATTTAATTTTTAAGGTTTTATAAAAAATGGCTTATCCACTTATTGGAGTTTAACACGTTCATTTTACTAGAGTGCTATTTTATTAAAATCACAATTTTTATTTACGTAGCTGCTTTATAAAGTAGGTAGCTGGAGAAGTTGTAAATAAATTAATAAAATTTATAAATTTATGCTTTTTTGTGTGTAATAAATTAAAGTTAGGAGAAAACTTCGAAGTTTGGAAATTACGGCAAAACAAATAAGCTGCAGTAGCTGACTTCTGATGATTTATATCATTTCTTGTATGGATGGAGTTTTTTCCAAATATATTTTGTTAACCAATGTAATCTTGATTTATTCACTCCATTCCAGATACAAATAAATTCTTATATTTGTTGGTTGAAATAATTAGAGAGATGCTCAAGATTGAAAAATTAATATTTGTCATTTTCTGTACCTATACATCAGAATAATTTAATAAGTAGTTGAAAACAAACAAAATGTTTTTTTTTCCCAAATTATCACTTCAAAGGTCTATAAGTTAGGACGGGTGTTTACACCAGATTAAAATGAACTCGGAATAATATGCTTCGTTGAAAGTTGGAAGAGAATTCGACCCAGTTTCATTCTGACCTGCATTATTAGGTATCTTGTATGCGTCATCACATACCGAGTAAAAATGTAAACATACATTTTCCCCTAAATTGTGATAAAATATTTATTTCCTCACGGCTATACTACTTATATTGTCAAACTCCTAGTTATGTTATTAGATCATTTGTTTATTTAAACTTAAAATGTAAACGTATAATGGGAAATCCCTTCCTATGCAGGTGTTGTTTAATCCTTGGTTATCCCCAGTTTGGATAGTACCAAAAAAGAAAGATGCCTCCGGTACTCAAAAATGGAGAATGGTGGTAGACTAAAGAAAACTTAATGAAAAGACTGATGAAGATAGGTATCCTTTACCAAACATCACAGATAATAATATACTAGACAAATTAGATCGCAGTAAATAGTTCACAGCCTTACACCTGGCTTCAGGAGTTCATCAAGTAGAGATGCATCCTGATTCTAAATCAAAAACGGCTTTCAATGTTGAAAATGGTCATTTTGAATTTCGAAGAATGCCATTTGGTTTGAAAAACGCACCAGCAACATTTCAAAGAGCAATGGACAATGTATTGTCTAGATTACAAAATAAAATATGCTTGGTATATATGGATGTATATCCTTACTTACTACTCTCTACGGAAGATTACTACAATGCTTTATGGAAATGCCCCAAAGTTGACAATACTTATCTATGTAATCAGAACCATCTGAAACGAGATGACTCATGGATCTATGATACACTTATAAATGGACCACAAAAATGTCTATTTCTGAAAATATCCTTTCAAGAACCAACAGTTAGGCAGTTACCTAAACGGGCAACTACTTGTTATACCCAAAAAGAGTTTACCAATTATAGCTCAATATGACCAAGTGAACCAATTATATGGACATTATCACGAAACCGACCTTAGTGAATTTTGAAAATTGCGAGGTTAAAATTCAAAACCAAACATTTTCAAAATTAATCGGAAACTTCAACTTTGGACTAAAGCTTCCAAAGATTGCAACAGAAAACATTACAACCTTGGATCTGAAAAATATGGACCATGAAGCCCTTAAGAAGCCTTCGAAAAAGCCGAAAAATTAAGAATGGTACCTCTACGGAAGCTTTCATTTAATCAAAGATGTCCACTGGTACCGGAAAAATTTATCACCTTCCAATGCTATTTGATAGGGAAAGGTGACAAATAATGTACCTGCACCTGTGGAAATCGGATTGTGAACAGGATATACTGATAGGATTAATCATAATTATAATGATTTTATTAATATTTTTGTATTTTTGTAAAAAGATCAAACAACGAAGAGATACAAATGTTGAGTTGTTTGATCTTAGTGCTCTACAACAACCCCAATTTGCAACATCCTAAAGAGGGAGAAATTATAATGTCAAACTCCTAGTTATGTTAATTAGATCATTTGTTTATTTAAACTTAAAATGTGAACGCATAATGGGAAATCCCTTCCTTGCAAGTGTTGTTTATCCAGAAAATGCTTAGTAAACGCTATTTTTATATAAAAGAACGCTGCAACGCCAGTAGTTAGCTTTTGTTTTCGAGTATTACTTATAGCAATTTACTCACGTATTCCTTGTTACTTAAGACTTTAATAAAATAGTTTTTTAAAAATCTAAGTCTCTGATTTGGAAACATATTTCACTTACTGCGATAATCTTCATACTTCAATATAAGCTCTGTTCCAACCGACATGAAAACCATTCTAGAACGGTAATTTTCAGTCGATCCATCCATTTGTCAAGTAGAATAAACGTTCAAATTATTGAAAAATAGGTAGGAAACTAGAAATTACTGGTTCTCGTGTCGGTTGGAACAGAGCTTTAAAATTCAAAAATTCACTTAAACCCTTCTATCTATTTATTTATATAATTTTTAAAGCAACATTACAGATGGAATTAAAAAGTTCCCAGAATTGTTCACTAAGTCCGTGGGTTGCATGGCTTAGTAAAAAGAAAAAGTTCATTTTACAACAAGAAGAATTTCGTGCTCCATGAAATTTTCAACTTGAAAAGTGTTTTGGTAAATATAATGAACTTTTAAAAAGCTCATTATTCATTTTACAAACAATATTGGATAACAAAGATTTATTATCTGTTTCAAATTATTGAATATTTACACAAAATGCATCGGTATCGGTACGTGAACCCCCGCTTTACGGATATACTCCTGCTAAATAATTTTAAATGATAATAATAACAATGTGTTTGTGTCTGTTACTTTTGATTAAAGATTATTTTTAATTGTGACTCTCTGGGTAAATGTGGTTTGGTGCTGATAGATCATAATTTTTACGGAAATGTAAGTTGAAATTTTCTATTAGCATACATTTTCTATCCTACGATTCTTATTACAGAATCCTTATTTTGCTCTAGAGTGTTTATAACATTTTTCATTTTGGTCAAATATACTCTTGATTGAGGCAAGGTTTAGTGATTCCCTGCAACGACGTGGCTATAGCTTTTACATGGGGGGGTTTAGAGCAGTAATAGACGCTCATGGTCTATGCTGGAAAGGGTTTCAATTTTAGACCAGACGATGTATAGGCGACCGGGCGTAGCATAGTCAGAGCTGTTTCGAGTACATGTACTCGGCTACCGGGTACAAGTACTTAGCGTAGAATGTTCTCGAGTACAGAGTACAATTACGAGTATTCAAAGTACCGTGTAGATTTATGAATACATTCTAATACCACCTTGCATTCCTACCCAATGTTGTCATAGGTACAAGTTATTACGCAACGTCCTCTTTTAAACAGCCTTGCTCTATCATGGCAATCTAATAAATCCTCATAGGCTGCAAGCGCTGAGGTAGCTGCGAACTTAGCTTTGCACATGGGTTATGACGTCACCTCCCCTTTCACACTTCCGTCACATTTCCCGAAATTTACCATCAAACCGCCGGTGTAGATGTTCAAAAATTGAAAAACACATTTTGGTTTACTAAATGAATTCAGCAATTTTGAATTTTGATTTGATTATCCAGAGTCCAGAGTTTATAAGGACTCGGTTATAACTGCACAAATTATAATGTATAATTATATAATCTGAATCAGAATTAAATTATCTTTAAGATAGAATAAGATTCAATTCTCTATCTTAAATACTTCTGGAGATATTGAGGCTCAAAGTCAAAACTTTATCTCAAATTTCACAAAAGATTCAAAGCTGATTTTCTTGAAAACGAAGCCCTTAAGCTCGGAGTCTCAAATAACCTTTTTAATCCCCCTTCTGAAGAGCTACAATTGAGCAAAAGATTTATGCCGATGGCTGTACTGGTTTCCAAAATATGGCCCTTTGAAATATTTGAAAATCAAATTCCCATACATATCCCTTTGAAAAAATTTGAATCTTCAAATTTTTGGATTTTGCAATTTTTGACTTTACCAATCGAAAGAGGAGGTAAAAATTTGTGGAAAAGCATTAACGCAACTTTGTTTTTTGGGTTTAAGAGCTTGTAAAAAAATAAAAACGACTTTTGCAATTTTTGAGCTCAGAAAATTTCAATAATTTGACATTGTCTTACTAAACCACTCATTATTCGGTTATAACTGCACATTTTATAATGTATAATTATATATTTTGAATGAGAATTAAATTATCTTCAAGATAAAATAAGATTCAATTCTTTATCTCAAATACTTTTGAAGAGATTGAGACTCAAATTCAAAACTTTGTCTCAAATTTCACAAAAGATTCAAAGCTGATTTTCTTGAAAACAAAGCCCTTGAGCTCGGAATCTCAAATAACCTTTTTTATAGCCCTTCTCAAAAGCTACAATTGGGCAAAAGATTCATGCCGATAGCTTCACTGGTTTCCAAAGTATGAATTTTTTTTGAAATATTTGAAGATCAAATTTCCATACCCCTTTGGAAAAATTCGAATTTTAAAATTTTTGAATTTTGAAATTTTTGACTACCAACCGAAAGAGGAGGTGAAAATTAGTGGAACAGCATTTACGCAACTTTGTTTTTTGGGTTTTAGGGCTTGTAAAAAAATAAAAACCGTTTTTCCACATTTTGGGCCCAGAAAATTTCAATAATCTGACATTGTCTCACAAAATCGCTCATTACGGTTATTATTGCAACAAATATGATGTAAAATTATATATTCTGAATCAGAATTAAATTATCTTTAAGATAGAATAAGATTCAATTTTCTATCTTAAATACTTCTGGAGATATTGAGGCTCAAAGTCAAAATTTTGTCTCAAATTTCACAAAAGATTCAAAGCTGATTTTCTCGAAAATGAAGCCCTTGGGTGGAGTCTCAAATAACCTCTTGTTATTGAGATAAAATTCAGTGAAAATTTCAGCTTTCTATCTATAATAGAAAAAAAGTTATGACCTTGATGACAAAGTTTTCCAATATCTAAATCATAAGATGTGCTTTATGGGTTTGCAATTGGGTTGCTTATGACCGTGCTTCAAGGTAGCTTTTGATAATTATTGCAGAAGGAAATCAGAATTTCCAAACTTATGGCCACAGACACAATGTCACAGTGCAAAGAAAAGTTCAAAATTTTCGTTTGCAAATCACAACGATCAATAGAACGCATGCTAAGCATCTGATGCTAAACAAGAAATGCCTGAAAATTGGTCATATCGTAACCGTAACATAATAGGTCTGTTCCAACACAGCAGGAAACCGTACAATTCATCGTCATGATTCTCCGCAAACTGTAAAATTTGCGTGTAGAAACCAAAATTCGTTCACTGAGTGGTTTCGGAATCGTTCATGGGACGGTTTTTGACGTGTTGGAACAGATCTAATGTCAGATTTCAACTTGTCTGGAAATGTAGGTACTTGTGGCCAAATAAATATGTATCTATTTAGTTAGAGTCCAATAATTTTACTCACCAAGTGCAAATGTATTCGAAAACAATGAAAATACCTGGGTATACCAAATGTATTTAAGTAAAAACGCATGTACGCGGGTATTTTGAAAATTACTCAGTACAATAAAAAGTACCGGGTACCTATTTTCTATATTCTTAAGCAGTTCAAGTACGAGTACAAGTACGCGATTCAGAAAGTATCTTGGCCTGAGTACCGAGTAACTAAAAATATACTTAGAGTACAAGTGAAGAGTACTCGTACCGTACCCGAGTACCGCACAGCTCTGAAGTCCATCAGGATATCGTCAAAGGCGAATTTTTTTTTCGGGTGCCTCGCCCAAAAACGTTTATTTTTTTCCAATAAAAATAATTTATTCAGTTCAATTGGGTTTGAACCCTCAAAACCCCCCCTTATAAACGTCCTTGATTCCTTGATACTGCAGCCAGTTAGCTTATTGTATCCCTTGCTGTGTTAGTTTCTACTAAAATAGGTTTGACACCCCCGTTCTTACAAAAATAATAACCATATAGTGAACCAGCCAAATGCAAACCGTTTTTCTAAAGCTTTCTTATTTTAGTTGATGGGTATGATGAAGAAGATTTATTTTGGACTGCTGGCGCTTTGGTTATGTTATCATGTTGCATCAGAGCGATGTCTCGTCACTAAAAAAAGTGAAAATCAACGTAGAGAAAAATGTGATCGCTATTATGGTTGCCGAATGGAATATGAACACATCGATGTAGCTAAGTATTATACATGCGTCAACACCAGCATCACCGATATTCAACAGCAAATAGAGGACAGAAATGTGAACTCTTACATCAATATAACGAATTCCTCAATTCCAGTTCTAGAACCGGACAATTATCAATGGGGAAACGTGCAAGAGTTGTGGATTCACGAAACAAACACCAGCGAAATAATTCCTGGATTTTTCAATAAGTTAGGCAACTTGAAAACATTGCAAATAACTAAAAATAAGATTACGCAAATAGTTACCGGTCTTTTAAGTCCGTTATCGGTACTCGAAGTTTTAAATTTAACTGATAATCGTATTGAAACAGTTGCGACACATAGTTTTTCGGGTATGTTGAATTTAAGAGTTTTGGATCTTAGCAAGAACAAGATTACAAGTATGCCGCAAGATGTTTTCGAGTATCAAAACTTCTTACATTTTATAGACCTTTCAGACAATAATCTCAAAAATGTAAGTGATTATCTATTCAATCAGCCGTCTCTACAAACTTTGAACTTAGCACATAATTTCTTAGTTGAATTTGATTTTAATCAACTGCGAAATGTAAGCAAAATTAATCTCAGTAACAATCTCATAGAAAAATACCTTATTGCAGATGCAAATATAATTAATTTCGAAGAAGTTCTATTGTCACACAATAAAATTACTACATTGCAAAAAATAAGAAATGTTAAAAGTTTGAATATTAGCTACAATAAGATTCAAAATATTGACGAGCATGTTTTGAGTGAAAGTCTCGAAACTCTTGATATAAGTAACAATAATATAACCAACGGATTATTTAACAGCTTGAAAAATTTAAAATATTTATATCTTGATCATAATTATATAAATTCATTATCCATTGACGCCTTATATAATTTACAACAACTCCTGTATTTGGATTTGTCTTTCAATCGCATAAAACAGATACCTTTCGGGTTCTTTAACGATTTAACTAGTTTGGTTTTTCTTGATTTATCCAATAACAATATGATTTTAGATTTTCATGTCTTATTAACCTTAAAATCTTTAACAACATTAAAATTCAGCAACAATAAAGTTCAAAATTTTGATGCCAGCACATTATTGGTACGCTTTAAAAACTTAGAGTCTATAACATTGAGCGATGGTTCTTGGAGTTGTAGTGAATTGGCTTTGACTATTCATCAATTGCAAATGAATAATATAAATTTTACACATGGTCAAGATACTAATATAAGTAATATTTTAGGAGTGTCGTGTAAGGAAAATACTGATATTAAAGAGGAGTCAATAGTAATTGAAAGGGTTAATGATGCTCCATCAGAAAAGATTGACGATTCTAAATACTTGCAAATTATTTCAAAATATATATTTGAAAATGCATCATTGCCTATTTTAAATGCTACTATCGATCAAAATAATAATTTGTTGGAATATATGAACAAAAGCTTTACTGATTACCTGAAAAATTTCAACACATACGCCATTAACTCGTCTAATTCTTTGATTGAGGCGCAAAAATATATTATAAATGAAATGTTCAATAGCACCAATTTCAATACATACATAAATTCTGTTGTGAATAATTCTACTAAAAAAGAATATATTTACATTGATAGGGCACAAAATAAAAGCGACAGTAATGATAGCTGGCTTCGAACTCTCAACTCAACACTATCTAATTTAACAATTAATTTGAGAAACTTGACATCATCGATTATCAATATTTCAAATGATAGAAATCAGGTTGTCAATGATAAATCGGAGGCAAACGCCTTAATTACTGAAAAAAATGTTGACAATTCCGCATTGGAAAATAGTTTAATTGTAATCAATATTTTGTTGGCTGTCATTATGATTTGCTTGATATTGCTTGCTTATCATAACTTTTGTAAACCAAAATTGAATCGAGCTCTTTCGGAACAAGTACAACTAATGTAAGTCTAATGAAGGACAAACGATTATATTCTTATTTGTAATGTTGCTCGAATAAATTTTTCAAAAAGTGATGTGGAGTTTTTTTTTTGTAGTTATTCTTCATTATTTCGGCTTCAAATTTCACATTTGTTCACAGCATGGAGTTTGGGAGGTCCCAAAAGATAAAATCTCAATACAAAACAAATTGAAATTATATCATTTTAGTACTAAGGTAGCTAGGTACCTGTTGACTTGAATTTTTGAAAACTTGAATAAATATAACTTTTTCTATTATACAGGGTGTATCAGGTATGACTACAAATATTTTAAGATGAGATAATATGGCCGATTTCAAGCTAAAACTGTCCTATTAACCATAGGTCAATTGTTAGTATTTTCGCAGTTCTGGCAGAATTTAAATTTGGAAAAATGGTATAAAAACGTGACAACATTGTACAGGGTGTTTTTTTATATATTGACACCCCACCTACAGCCTTTACCTTTACAGGTAGAAGAAAGGTGTACAGGGTTATTGGTTATAAATGTCACCCCCCTCTATCTTTTTTATTTGACATTTTAGAAAAAAGTGTCCCAAATAAAAGTTTTATGGTTGAAATTAAAATTTTTGAAAAACTCCCTTTCGGATATACAGGGTGTTTCAGAAATGCTGGTCGTGCTCCAACTTTCTTATTTTAAATGGAACACCCTGTATATTATTGAATATTCGGATTCTACGTAAAATTCTCTGAAGATTTTATGTGCTATACCCTATACCTAAGTTCAAATATTTTGGAAATATTGACAGTTGAAAATTGACTTTTTTGCAACTTTGACAGGCTGTGAAACCTAAACGGTTGAAGTTAGGTATAGGGTATATCACATGAAATCTACTCAAAATTTTATGTAGAATCCGAATATTCAATAATATATAGGGTATTCTATTTAAAATAAGAAAGTTGGAGCGCGACCAGCTTTTCTAGTATATGCGAAAGTGAGTTTTTCAAAAAATTTAATTTCAACCATAAAACTTTTATTTGCGACACATTTTTGTAAAATGTCAAATAAAAAGGATAGAGGGGGATGACATTTATAACCAATAACCCTGTACACATTTAGCTGAATTTTTAGAAACCATGGTCAGAAACAAAATTTGAATGTCAGAAATGTGAAATTTTGTATGCTTCCAGCTTTTTTCAAATGGGATGCCCTATATTTCATTCTATATTCTTGAAGAGCACAATGCCCCGATTCCAAAAATATATAGTTTGTCTATATTTGATTGAACAGTCTCTCATATATTCGGCTCCAAAAATTTTAAAAATACTATCCTACTACTGATTTTATGAACCATTCTACCTGTACAGGTGAAAGCTGCAGGTGAAATTTGAGGTCCCAGTTTCTCTGATAGTTTTTTTTTTTTTTTTTTTTTATTTGTCAAACACATTGTGTTTATTACATTACAATCTAGTCAGTAAGACTAATTAGCAATTTTGTTTTAACCTAATTTACTATAAAGTTTTCTCTGATAGTATTTTTAAAATTTTAAGAACCAAATATGTTGGAAACGGCTCAACCAAATACAGGCAAACTATATGGTTTTGGAATCGGGAAATTGTGCTCTTCAAGAATATAGAACCAAATATAGGGCATCCCATTTGAAAAAAGCTGAAAGCATGCAACATTCTACATTTCTGACATTCAATTTTTGTTTCTGACCATGGATTCTAAAAATTTAGCCAATACTGTAAAACTTTTGTATTTACAGCTTTCATCTACTAGTAAAGGTGAAGGCTGTAGGTAGGGTGTCAAAGTACTTGAACAATAACTTATCATATAAAGTTAGAATTTGTAAGATTATCCACTTTTTTTCAATTTCCCTTTTAACAGGAATTAGTAATGTTACTTTACCAAACTAGTAACATAATGTGACAAGTTATTCAAGTATAAACGAGTGGATTGTTGCGGCACTTATAGGTGGACCTCTGCGGGACGAGCGTAGCGAGTTCCGCAGCCATCTATTCATCAATATGTTGTTTAAGTACGATACTTACCTGACTCACTCAAATGTGAGTTATTCTCATTAGTTTAAAAACTACACGTTTCAGGTGAGTGTTTTATTTGAATAGTTCAACAGTATATTGGTGAGTAGATGGCTGCGGAACTCGCTGCGCTCGTCCCGCAGAGGTCCAGCCATAAGTTCCGCAATAATCCACTTATTTGTACTTGAACAATAACTTATAATATAAAATCAAAATTTGTAAGATTATGATTATTCACTTTTTGTCAATTTGCCTTTCAACAAGAATTAGTAATGTTACTTTACCAAACTCGTAACATAATATAACAAGTTATATGTACAAATGAGTGAATTGTTGCAGAACTTATGGGTGGACCTGTTCCGCAGCCATCTATTCATCAATATGTTGTTTAATTACGATACTAACCTGACTCACTCAAATATGAGTTATTCCCATTAGTTTAAAAACTACACGTTTCAGGTGAATGTTAATTAATTACCTTAATAACTTAAGGTTGGTCTCGTCTCGTCTCGAAATCTTGAGACAGATCGTGACAAAGTCTGGTCTCGTCTCGAGTGATCTCGTCTGGTCTCAAGTTATACAGGGTGTCTGGAAAATAGCGTGAAAACTCTTTACTACATGGTGAAAGACCCTTCAAGGAACCCCAGAAAAATAATTTAAAAAAATCTTGTGGCATTCTTAAGAAAGTTATTTGCATTTTAATATTTATCGAAATTTGCAACACTGAAAATATCCCGTTGACAACATGTCAGAGAATTAAATTAAATACCTATGTAATAACCTGTAGAATGCGAAGGTGAATTTTCACATTTACCTCTTCATATTACCAAGAATAATGCTGGAGAAGGATTTTTTTCAATTATTTTTCTAAGGTTTCTCAAAGGGTCCCCTACTACGTGGAGAGCTTTCACGCTATTTTTCGGACACCCTGTATTTATGGTATTTATTTTCTCCTTATTTATCATTTCTTTATAATCGATTTTTGACTATTCCAGGTTCTTAAATTTCTGATTTCTTCAAAGTTTATTTTTATAAGAAAGTAAGAGACAGACAAGAGTCTGGAATTTCTTGTCTCTATTTTTTATTTCTTCAGTGTCAATCTTTGTCTATTCCAGGCTCCTGAATGTTCCTTACTTTTTTAGAAAAATAAATTTATAAAAAAACAGCAATTCAAGAGCCTGGAATAGTCAAAAATCGATTCTAGAGAAATGAGAAATAAGAAGATATTCAAGAAATCTTTTGTAATCTCTTAAATTTTCCTCAGATTTTTTAGGCTTTTCTCATTTCCTCTATTAGCGGAGTTCCCTCGTACGAAATTTTGGAAGAAAACGCCAAATTGGGTTACAAGTATGAAATTTGGCATAATTGTCAGGAAGCTCATTTTAAGAGATCTGACCCGACTAGCCAGGCTCTGCGTCCCTCAAGACTCCCAATCTCGCATTTTTTTCCAAAATGACGGACGGGAATTTCCTCAATTTCAAAATTAATTTACTTGAGCATGATTATACACTTTATTATATAATTTGAGGTCAAGGAATTCAAAAAAAATATTTTCAAAACGATATGATTTTCAGTAACCTTGAAAATTACAGTTTAATTCAATTTTAGAATAATTTTAATATAACATGTTTGAAACCGCCAAAAGAAGGGGGTTAAAAATCAAAAATGATTGCTTAGCATATCATAAAAATTAAAATATCTTATCAAAGACGAAAAGTTTCTTTTATAATAGATCAGCGCTGGCTGATGCGGTATTACTAAAGTAAATGAAGCCATGTCATTACCTTATTTTTCACAGAAATGTTTCAAAGTATCATATGAAGAATACAAAATCTTTTTTTTTTTCAGAAAAATAAGGTATTGCCATGGCTCCGTGGCACCGTGGCACTACCTCACCAGCCGCTTTAACAGATACTGCAAACTATAGGGATCGTTGGTTTTTGCCATTCGCCATTGCAGTTAGTACATGCGGGTGTACAAGGTAGACCTGCTTTCTGACACGAACATCTGTAAGTCTCACTTTGACTTTTACATCCACACTTCTCTAGTACTCTAAGAGCTCCAAATTTGTGCTAGCTGGCTCCCAGCGGTTGTTGGTTAAATTCAAACTCCATCCTCCAGGTGGTGCAACAGATTCACCGGGTGACAGCGACCGACCCCATATTTAACCGGCTTGATACGCAGCTCTTCTGTAGTCTTCCATTAGACTGTATTGTGACGGTGGACACATGGATATTGGTCATTCTCCACTACGAAACTGCACCTTTCTCAATTTATTAACTTTTTCAACAGATCAGTTGTGGCTGGTGCGGTAGTGGAAAGGTACATGAAGCAATTTCATTACCTTATTTTTCATAGAAATGTTCCAAAGTAACGTATGAAGGTTAGGTTATAAAACCTATTTTTCGGGATTTGACATTCGCTCTTGCAGTTAGTATATGCGGCCGTACTATAACTTTCCTATACAAACATCTGTTAGGTTAGTTTCACATTGACCTTCACAGCCACACTTCTCTAATCCTCTTGAAGCTCACCAAATTTGTGGTAGCTGGCTCCCAGCGGTTGTTTGGTAAATTCCAACCCCATCCTTCAGATTAATGGTCGTTCTGTCCTACAAAACTGCACCTTTCTCAATTCATTAACTTTTTCAAGTTTGCTTTTTGCATCATAGAGTGTAATAATGAATTCCTTTAAAATCTTGAATATATTTTGTGGTATATCTGTGGTACTATATATTAAAGATAAACAATGGAAAGCCAGGGTTGCCTTCAGATAATCTTCCCATGCTTTCCATGCTGCTTTTTCCTTTCAATGCAAAAAATGTCGCACCCCGTAACAACGACGCAGTGCTTACGATTTTTCTCAAATGATTTGCAACGTTATGAGCTGCAATATATCTTTGTGATTTGCTAACCCCATATAAATACCATAATTCCTCAAGGCCTGAGGAGTTCAATATATAAAAAAATTATATTCCTATTATTCCAGCTGTGTCCGAGAATCGTACTGAAACGGATTTAGCTCCATTTTGGACCAAATGTTTAACATAATGT